CTGGCGGGGAGGAGTGTAGCCATTCAGGTAGCCGTTGCTCTGGCGTTTGCTGAGTCCTCCGTTAAGAATGTCCTGGATGTGCTGCACTATCAGGTTTATGGCCACTGTGAGCAAAAGGGAGGGGGAGAAAGACACGGGGGAGAGAAAGATTGCATTAGGATCACTGCAAATAAACTAGAGCCAAGGCAGAGATGATGACCCTGCTTGTCTCCCCTGCTCTTGTCCTCTCCTATCGCGTGGTGGGGAGCTGCAAACCCTGCAGGGAGGACCTCCCTCACTGGGACTTCATCCCTCTGTCCCGGCAGAGCCCGGCACTCAAGCCAGTATGGTCAGGCTGATTCCAGCCCGGTGGAGACCCGGCTGTCCCAGCTGCACGTCTGGCCTTGGAGAAACACGTTTCCCTTTGTGTGGGATGAACCAGGAGTTTGCCTGGAGGCACTGCACATAGGCGGGCTCCCGGGCTTGATCAGAGGAGCACAAACTCCCAGTCACTAATGCTCCAGGCAGGAGCAAAGGGGAAAGGCTCATCTCAGCACGTGTGTGGGAACAGCACTGTCTCGGGTGGCAGTGACCTGAGTCATCTCCGTGGCAGGTCCCGCTTCCAGTGACCTAACTCCACCACAACAGCAATGGCCCAAAGCCGGCTGCCAGGATGTAACAGCAGGGTCTGGGTCCACTCACCTTCATTATCTGCTCCTCTGGGAATGATCACGTCAGCATACTTCTTGGTCTGGGAGGAGAGAGAGCACTGTGTTACAGAGAACGTGGGGAGCCACCAGGCTGGGGAATTGTCCCTGCTTCCTGGGGCAGGTCCTAACCCTCCCCTTGCCAAACCCAAACCCACTGGGAGGTAGGTCGTTGCTGGTAATACAGTTTGGATGCTCTTATTTGACTTCTGCTCTATGTTGTGAGGGCTATGCTTTGTGCCTTGACTCCATTTTCATCAGTTCATACAGATTCCAGTAAGAGGCACCCTAACATAATCTGAAATTAAAAAGCCTCACGATCACAATACTCCAGCAGCTGATGCTTTTGGGAACAAATTCCTGCCCTGAATCCAGCCAGACTTGGTACAAGAGCAAGAGTTGGCATGCCAGGGCTGCGTGGACATGCAGGGCACAGACATCTGATCTGCTTGGGGTGTGGGGAGAATTTTCTGCCAGCATCGCTTGCAAAAAAGGTCTGATTTGGGACACCAGTCCTGACCTACTTTCACCTGCAGGTGCCAGTCTCAGTTTCTTCCCCTATTTGTGTCAGCTTTTACAGCTGATCAGCTTCCTGTCAGCCAAGCTCTACCATCAGTAAACCTGACATCTCCAGGTGCTTCCAGCCCTATCAAAAAATCACCAGGACATACTGGACCATTTCAGTGCTGGACCGCCTGGCCCAGAGCTGGTTTAGGAGTTGAGAAACAGCAACAGCGGGTGCTGAGCCTGCTCGACATCCGCACGCAATTGTTCTGCAGCTGAGCCCACCACCAGGTTGGAAGTGGGAGCAGACCACTGCAAAGCTGGCGGGTAGGGACAAAGCAGTTGTTTTCCACCCTCCTTGTTTCACATTTCATCCTCCTACAGACTCTTCAACAGAAGACACTGATGCAGCATCCACTGCTTTGCAAAGCTGTGGATTTACTTTGCTGGGAACTTGCAAGGAGGGGAGGCACCAAGCTGGACCTGCTTCTCAGAAAAAAATCTTTCTGGCATTACCCTAGAATTGGACCTTGGTTCCCAAAGCCACATGTGAGCGAGACAGGGAAAAGGGTGCTGCCCAGGAGCCCAGAAAAGATCTTGTAGCACAGAAAAAAAATCAGCCCCTCTATATGGGAAGGGGCAGAACTGGCCATGTAGACAGGCACTGAGATGCTTCTGCGGCCAAGGCCTGAGGCTGGACACAGAGATTCAATTCCTGCCTGTGCTGCTGGCCAGCAGTTCCCAGGTTGCAGGACTCAGTTGCTCCAGAATAAGAAGAAATTCATCACAGAACTACCCCATCTGCTTGGAAAGCCTTGGGAACCAACGTGTAGGCTTCTCTCCACAAAAGCGGCGGCCAGGAGAGGTGTGCGATGGCTAGTTCTGCAAACGTGCTATTTCGCCTGCAAGCTCTGCAGGACTGCAGCGGTCTCCCGCATGCAAAGTCCCTGTCTGCTAGGGAGCCTTGCCTCAGTTATCAGCTCCCTAAGTCTCTTCCTTTCTCCAGACAGACCTTGCAACCCTGGCCCTGAGCGAGGTCTGTCCGCTCTACAGTTTGGCCTCTCACCAGCCAGGAAACGCGACCTGCAAGGCCACATCCTGCAGTACGGAGCAAAGGAAGAAGCTCCCCTGCTCTTCCAAGCATCCAGGCAGCAAGAAGCCAGCAGCGCTCCAGGGTGACAAGCACAGGCAGGACAGCCCAGAACGGGAGGCAGACACAGCGGACACTGCCTGGGGGCAGGAATCTCCCTGTCCCAGGCTAGATGCAGCCAAGGATCTTGCCTCCTGGGGTTGGCATCTGTCTGGTGTTGGTTTGTCAGAGCCTGTGCAGGGTTGGGTTTCTCTTGCCATGTCAGCCTTCCCACAGGGGAGGGCGATGTCACCAGGAAGGCAGTGACTGTATAAATAGTCCCCATCTCACCCCAGCCAGCACCGGCATCCCCGTTTTTGCTGGTGCCTGCAGGCAGGGAGCAAGGCAAGGCAGGCTAACCTCAGCTCTGGGGCACGACATGCTCCTGTCTGAGGAGCTGGGCAGGGTACGAGGCATTTCTGGTGTCACTCCCCTTACTTACTGGCAAACAGAACTCCTCGAAGGCAGGCTTGACGAAGGTGATGTACTGAGATAAGATCTGCTCGAGGTCCCTGCCTCGCTCACTGATGTCTCGTAGCACTGTGGGGAAGATGTAAGGCACAGTCAGGAGATGAGCACATGAATCGCTCCATCCCCCTCCCTTCAGTACAGCCTTTGCCAGCCACCTGGGTATTTTGCCCACGGTCTCTGTTCCTCGAAGCTGCTGCCCACACGTCTGAGCACACCCCAGCCCGGCTACATGATTTTAACCAGCTTCCAACCCCTCCCGGGAGCCAAGGGCTGGCTGACCTGACCAAGGGCTTTTCTTGGCCTCCCTCCCTTTTCAGCTCTGCAAGCACATCCCAGCTATAACCAGTGCTACCCCAGTCCTGACTGTTCCCAGCCTCAGCCCTTACATCCCTCCTGTCACTCTGCCCTGCCCTTGCCCTGAGGATGGAGCGTTCTCCCAGTTGTCCCAGTGCAGAAGTGCCCAAAGAATAGAAAAGCAGTGGAGTTCACCCACACGCACATTAAGGTGCAGTTTAACTCAAGTCTCCGGAGGTGAGGAGAATAAAAACCACCCACCTACCCACCCCCGCCAGGCTCCTTGTGCTGTCCCCAGCTGAGTGGGCTGCGAAGGCGAAGCAGGCTCCCACAACCAGAGGCTGAGGGGGTTCTTGGAGGAGATCAGCTCAGGAGGAAGCCAGGAGAACAAGCTGGCCTCCTGCTTGTTCTGCTGTTCGGGCCTTACACCCTGTTTGCAGGTATTTGGGTCATTGCCATCTCCGGTCTG